AAGGAGGGGGTGCTTGGTGGGGGCGGGGGGACGAGGAGGAGGAGGGAGCTGGCGGATGTAGGCCAGTGCAGCCCCTCGCGTGGACCTGGGGCCTGGCGAGGGCTTGGTGTGGGCAGGACCGGCGCCACGGCCCGGGACAGCGTGGTTCAGAGTCGGGGTCAGCGCCGGCCGCGGGGGCTCCGCGGCACTAGCATTGCCGCCGTGGGCACCGCGGCCGCTGGACATGGACGGGAAGGAGCTGAGCGAGGGAGCGGGGGGAACAGGGCCTGCAGCCGTGGGCAGGCCGCAGGCTTGCTCGGTGGTCAGGGAGCCCAGGTCCGCGGGTGTCGCTCATTTTGGTGGCGACGGTTGGGGAGGCCTGGATGTGTCCATGGCCGGGGCCTTTTTGAGAAAAAGCCAGCTTGGTTTGGGGCAAGGTGGGTTGAGATGGCGCCTCCCAGGGCTGATTTTTGCCGTGACTTGGGAGAGGAGAGCAGCCAGCATCCCTGAGAACAGGCCCGGGAGCCGGGAGTTGGGGAGATGTGGATGAAGGAGGTGACTCTGAACGTGACCGGCTGAGATGTCGTGGGAATGGACGAAGCGCAAAGACGGAAAATGAAGAACCCTGGCATTCAAAGAATAAGAGGGAAAACAAATCCTAAAGGCTGTTGAAGACTCTCTCTGTCTCTCTCAAAGTTTAAACAAAATCACAGAAGGGGCATTGGCGCCGTGGTTAAAGCGCCTCCTTGGACACCCTACTGAGCGCCTGGCTTGGTGCCCCAGCCCAGTGCAGCTTCCTGCTACCGCGTAGCTTGGAGGCAGCCGCGCACTCCTGCGGGAGACCCAGGCGGAGTTCCGGGCTCCTGCAGGAGAGAGAGGCTCAGGAGGGGGCCTTGGGTAGAACAGGGGCTGCTTCCAGGGGAGGGAGCGGCTGTTGGTGTCAGATCGCCTCTGGCCGCGGTGGGCGAGAGGTGAGCCTTGCAAGAGGGTTGGGGCCAGCTCGCACGTGCGCGAGACCTGAGGGTCCAGCTGATGGAGGGAGGGTCCTGAGAGGGTGGTGGGAGGAGCTCGGAGCTCAGGACCTGGGCGGGGCCTGGCGGGAGCCCCTAATGGGGGCTGCCTGCAGCCCATCTGCCTCCCCACAACTTCTGGTTTTTAGCAGGAAGGAGCAGGGGGTCTCGTGGAGACCAGTGGCGGCTGAGGAAGAGAGGAGTAGGTGGAAACAGACGGCGAGGTGTTGGAGACAGGGTTCCCCACCCACGCCTGTGGTGTAGCCCGCGTGTTGGAGACAGGGCCCCCCCCCCACGCCTATGGTGTAGCCCGCGTGTTGGATCAGGGCTTCCCACCCACGCCTGTGGTGTAGCCCACGTGTTGGAGACAGGGCTCCCCACCACGCCTATGGTGTATCCTGAGTTTGGGTGACTGCTCCTTCCTAGTCCCGTCCTGCGCTTCCATGGCCAAGCGGGGAAATCAACTCAGTGGCACCCCAGTCCACTTCATGCCCACTGGGGGTCCGCCGTCGGAACCTGGCAGGCATTTGGAGCAGTGGTAAAGTCGCCACTTGGGACCCTCGCGTCCTGTGTTGGAGAGCCTGGGTCAGACTTCTGCTGGTGTGCCCGCTGGGAGGCAGCAGTGCCGGTTCAAGTGCTGGGGCCCCTGCCACCCACGTGGGAGACCCGGATGGAGCTCCTGGCTCCTTTATGGGCCTTTGGGAAGTGAGCCAGTAGATAGCATCTCTCTATATATAACTGATTTCTCTCTCTCTCCCCCCCCACCTCTGCCTTTCAAATAAAAAGTGAAAATATTAAATACATTTTAATGGCAAATCAGTATCGGTGAGGATGTGGAGAAACTGGAGCCTTTGTGTACCACTGGTGGTCCCCGTGGACAACAATTTTGTGACAGTCCCTCAAGCACACAATGGGGAAGCAGCCTGCGTCCGTCAACCAACGGATGGATCAGCAAAATGTGGTGTAGACAATCGACAGCTGTCGCTCAGCCTCAGATGCTGCCACCTGCTCCGACATGGGTGAGTGGGCAGGGAGACCCGGCCGGGCACAGCGGCTCAGGTCTGGGAGGGACCGAGAGTGGGCGCAGCCACAGAAAGCGGGGAGTGAAGTGGGCAGGGTGGAGAACGAGAGCGTGGGTTCCACACGGAGCTGGACGGTGGTGATGGCTGCCGGCGTGACTGCTCTCAGCCTCGCAGACGGCCGAGATGCCAACTTTGCTGTTGTGTGTATGAGGGTACTTCAGGAAGTTTGTGGAATACAGAATTAAGTTCACTTTGGTGCCAGACCTTTTTTGGAAACCATGCGTTGTTTTTCATAATGTGCATTTTCCACGAACTTTTCCAAGATCGCTTGTATTCTACCATGATTTTTTTTTTAAGATTTATTTATTTGAAAGGCAGGGTTACAGAGAGAGAGAGAGAGAGGCAGAGACAGAGATCATCCATCTGCTGATTCACTCCTCATACGGCTCCAATAGCCAGGGCTGGGCTGGGCCGAGCTGAAGCAGGAGCCAGGAGCTTCCTCCAGGTCCCCCACGTGGGTGCAGGGCCCAAGCACTTGGGCCGTCTTCTGCTGCTTTCCCAGGTGCATTAGCAGGGAGCTGGATGGGAAGTGGAGCAGCCAGGACTCGAACCAGTGCCCATGTGGGGTGCTGACATCGTAGGTGGGGGCTTTACCTGCTATACCACAGCGCCAGTCCCTCTACCAGGGTTTTTAAAAGTGCGCGTTTGGCATTCGGCAGGATCGTCTGGCAGAGGCATCACTTGTGCTGTTGTGTGACCCAGAGTCGCAGCTGTGATACTCTAAGGACAGGTGTGTCACAGCCGTGACACGGTGGAGACAGGTACATCACAGGGAAGGAAGCCCAGGGATGCTGGCCTGGATCAAGAGCCGGGATTCCGGCTCCATCCCTGTCTCTGTCACTCCGTGACCTTGAGCCAGTTCCTCCCACGCTCTGGGCCCCGGTGTCCTGTTGGGATATGTGGCACCGACACTGTCTGTGGTCTCGCTCGCAGCTCTGCCCATCCAGCCTCGGTGAAGCTTCCCGAAATGTCACGGAGTTCAAGGAGGACCTGGGGCAGCTGAGTCACTGGGCCCCGTGGGGAACAACACCTCCCGTGGTGGCTAGCCGTAATTGCCACTGGACGGGAGGGGCCGTCACCCACTCAGATGGGAGGGGCTGCTTCGCGCTCCTGCAGAAAGGGCCAGGCTGGGAGTTTTGGGAAAACTCCAGGGAATGCAGCGAGGAGCCAAGAAGCCTCGGGAGGGCACCCCGCCCCCTCCACGGTGCCTTCTTGTTTCGCTTCCTTTCTCCTGCCTGCCCTCCCTTCCTCCAGGAAGTCCTGGGGCTGCCAGGGCCCCCCCACCGCTCCACACTGGGAGCTCAGGCAGCCAGGCCTGTCCCTTCCTGGGGCTGCTTCCTGGCGCACCTGGAGAGCCAGTCCCAGGGTCCCTCCGCCTGGTGGCCACTTGGCATAAAACCTTAACAGAAGCCCCACTCAGAAGTAAACTGATTGACAGAGCAGGGCCTCCCTCCCACCACCGCCAGGGTCAGCTAGGAAGGGCTCACATCAGGGTGCACCTGGGAAGCGGGGTACAACCATGGAGTCATACACCCACGGGGCAGATGGGGACGCTGCCCCAAACCAGAATCCGTGGAAGGTCCCTGCTTCTCCCCACATCCTCCCGCCTGACTTAGACCCACACAGGCCAGAGCAGGGAATGAACCCTGGGGGGCAGCTTGGGCATGATAGGAGGCCGCACTACTGCCTCTGGCCGCCAGAGGGCAGAGGCACAGTGCCTTGCCTGGTGGTGCTCAGATGTCATTTACAAAGCCAGGTGGGAAATGCCCAGAGACTTAGGAATTCCCTGACGGTGGCCGCAGAGTGCTGGGTGGGCCCGGATACTGCACGGGTTGCACGTGCACACAGCTGGTCCTGATTCCCGGGTCTTGGGTCCAGCCTTCAACCCAGGTGGGTACTGACAGCGCCCCAGGCTGGCGCTGCCAGCACCAGGCGGCCCTGGGCTACCTCCTATCTGTTCACCTGCCTTTCTGCCTCACATTCCGCTGACTCAACGTACTGATACTTGGAAAAAATTCCCTTTTCAGAGACGGCCGCTGGGGCACTGTTAAGGTGTCTGGTTTTGCAACTGTCAGGCAGTTCATCTGGGAAAGGGGGGAGCGCCTTGGGGGAAGGAGCTGGGGGATCCGAGCTCTGCAAATGTGGCTACAGCTGAGGCTTCTTAGAAACGCTCCCCACCCCTCACGTTTATATGCAAAGCGGCCACGTGCTCCAGACTGTTTACAAGCACAGGGAGAGGAGCCTTGCCCAGAACAGATGCTTAAGGTCTTGCCAGCATTTACCATTCCGTGTCGCTTCCCTGTGACCTTGGCCCCGCCCTTCTCAGACTCTCCACGGGGGGTAGGGTGGGCATCTAGGGGGCTTCCACCCGTGTGGTACCCCCCACACCCAGCTGCGGCATGAGCAGGGGGGAGGTCCCCACACCCAGCTGTGGCATGTGCAGAGGGGAGGTTTGAGAGACCTGAACCGGGGAACAGAGGCGTCTGATCCCATGCGCTGAGCAGGAGCCGTGCGCAACACATCCTGCCTGTCCTCACCGAAGGGGAGGGGGCAAGGCTGGCCAAGCTCCCGGCCGAGTCCTGTGTAGCCCCCTTGTGCACTCAGCAAGGTCCTGTCCACGGAGGACTTTCTTCCTGGGTGAGAGTCGGCTCAGAGGGTGCCGTCTCAGTTCCTCCCTCCCGGGGCCCGGGGACCTAGGGCAGGTCGCAGACTTGTCCCAGATGGGCCATGCATGGAGCAGCACCCTCAGCCCTGAAACAATGCACAGGTCCCAGAGGAGGCCACCTCGTGGGGATGGGTGTTTTCTGACGTGAACTTCCAGGCTCTTCTACTCAGCATCGCTCCTCTCTGCAGCTGCTGGTGCAGAGATGCCCGTGGAACCCCGGGGGTCACGCCGCCCGCCCCCCGGCCTCCCGACCCCAGCACCTACCCTTCTCTTTGGTAATCTTCGTCCAGATTTGACAGGAGCTGCGAGCCCGCCGTGGAGAGGTCGATGGCAGCCAGGGGCAAGTCCCTGTCGGCGAAGTTCACCAAGTGCACGGGAGCGACGCTCTTGGTCTCCTCGTCCACTTGCTGAGAGATGATCTCAACTTCGGAAATCCCTCCTTCTAGGGCAGGCCTGCGTGGGGCAAGAGGGCAGGGCGGAGTCACCCCCAGGAGCAAGACCCGGCTTCCTGGGCCGGCGCCGCGGCTCACTAGGCTAATCCTCCGCCTGCGGTGCCGGCACTCCGCGTTCTAGTCCCGGTCAGGGCGCCGGTTCTGTCCTGGTTGCTTCTCTTCCAGGCCAGCTCTCTGCTGTGGCCCGGGAGTGCAGTGGAGGATGGCCCAAGTGCTTGGGCCCTGCACCCCATGGGAGACCAGGAGAAGCACCTGGCTCCTGCCATCGGATCAGCGTGGTGCGCCAGCCATAGCGGCCACTTGGGGGGTGAACCAATGGAAGGAAGACCTTTCTGTCTCTCTCACTGTCTAACTCTGCCTGTAAAAAAAAAAAAAAAAAAAGACGAGGCTTCCGCAGAGAATGTACCAGGACCTGCACAGGGCACGGAGGGCTGGGCTGGGGGTCTACCGGGCTTCCCGCTAGCCCCCCACGGAGTGACGGGCCTGGCCAGTGAGGCCAGTGGGAGAATCAGGGAAAAGAAACTGCTTGAATTTGGACATGGGGGCATCCAGGGCAGGTGCTTTGGAGGGGACAAGACCCGGTAGGCGTGTGTGGGGTCTGTAGCACTACTCTTTGTCTTGGATTGACCTCTGCTTCAAAGTTGTCCCCTGGAGGGAGGGGATAGGACCTTTGTAAAGATCCTGAAATGTCCCCATTGCCTGCCCCCCCCCCGGGGGGGGGCAACAAGACATGTGCATGGCTGTGAGGCACCCACGGGTGGGAGGGTGGGTGCTCTGGGCAGCTGTCCTTGGATGCCACCCTCTCTCACTTGAACTGGTCAAGAGTGGGCGTAGGAAAGCAGGGGCCATGTCTAAGCTGGTCTCACAGGCATCCTAGCTACGGACGATACCACCTCGCAACCAGGTGTTCTGGTCACAAACGTGACCACGGGCAGTCACTGTCGGCCCCCAGGCGAGGACGGGGCCACCACACATCGTGCAGTGGAGCCGACATCTGGGCACTGTTTTGCCCAGCCACACCAGAGCCCTGTGGACAACAGACACCTCTGCCTCTTCACTTCCTGGGGAGGCCAGCTTTGGTCCTCTCTCACAACCTCAGCCTACCCCGCGGTGTGGAATCTGAGGAGCTGGGAGCTGGTGGGTCAGAGGTGGTTAGAAAGTGTGGCAAGCAGTAAAAATGAAACGGTAGAGGGATGGCTGAGGGTGGGTGACCTGGGTAATGAGAAGCCAGGGACTTGTTTTGTTTTGCTGTTCATTTTTCAGTGTGTATAGAAAAGACCCAGAGGCAGAGAGAAATCTGCCATCTGCTAGTGCACTTGCCAAATTCTTGCAACAGCTGGAGCTGGGACAGGCTAGAGCCAGCAGCCTGGAACTCAACCTGCGCTTCCCACCTGGGTGGCCGGGACCCAAGTCCCTGGGCCGTCACCTCCCAGCGTCCACGTCAACAGGAAACTGGATTGGAAGTGGGATAGCTGGGGCTCATGCAAGGCACTCTACACTGGGAGTGGTCCCTGCAACAGTGCCTTAACCGCGGCACCAATGCTTTCCTCCCGGATTTTAAAAAAGTCTGTTTATTTGGGAAGCACAGAGACACAGAGCTTCCATCTGCTGGTCCACTCCCTGAATGCACACAACAGCCAGGGCTGGGTCAGGCCAAGGCTGGGAGCTGGGAGCTGAGTCTGGGTCTCCCCGATGGGTGCTAGGAGCCCAGTGACCTGAGCCATCACCACCGCCTTCCAGGGTGTGCACTGGCAGGAAACAAATCATCCCGCAGAGGGGATTGAACCGGGCTGTCCTCCATGGGGCACAGGTGTCCTAACCCTCGGCCAGATGCCCTCCCCACACTCAGGTCTGCTCTAGGCTGTCCTTGACACTTCAGTGATGGCTCCAAGCCCAGCTCCTGTGGGGCTCCTCCTGGGCCTCAGTTTCCCCAGTGGGAACACGAGGAGGTGACACAGGCTTCGGGCCATTCTGGGATGGGTAAGAGAGAGAGAGAGAGCAGGTTGAAGGAGCCCTGGGGTGCTGAGCCCTCCATCTGGATGGGAGCTGGGAATGCTAAACTTCCCAACAATGTTTGAAACCTGTGCAGTCACACAAGGGCATGGAATGAGAGCTAAGTGCATCGTGGTGCAAAACGGTTTTCAGGGCCACGGAGAGCCGCCTAGACGTGGCGTTGAACCTGCCGAGTGGCTGCCGAGGCCCCGGCTCTCGTCGTCAGCCTTACTTAAGCCTGTGCTGGCTCCCGCCTGTCAAGCGCGGATCATCGTTCGCATCCCTGCCTGACGTTCATGAAGCGGCTCAGGGCTTCCGGCAGAGCAGTCAGAGGATGGGGGGAGGGCGTCTCTGTTTCCCAACTGATCGCGTCGCGTGGGTGTTTGTGGGGGAAATCCCAGCTCCCCGAGATGTTTCCAAGGGAAAGGAGAAGCTGTTGCATTTGCTCTCTTTTCTCCCGGACTGCTCACAAAAATCGCAGGCTTCTGAACTGAACCAGTAGAGCTTTCTGGTCAACGCGATGTTTGTGGAGGGTGGGGTAAGTGTCAGAGCCGACAGGACATGGCTCTGAAAGGCAGGGGAGGAAGCGCTTTGGCCCTCTGTCCCCCCCCCCCCCCCCGCACCAATGGCCCTAGTGGCCCTGCCCCGCCTTTGGCCGGATGGTCACCACAGCGGAGAGAAGCCTTCTTTGGTGGGAGGGAACGTCCCTCAGACCCTAGGTCATGGTCAATGATCACACGTAGCCTTGGGCATGAGGAAGAGTACGGCAGACCAAACGTCTCAAGGGCTCCGTTCTCTACCCTGTCCGTTGCGATGTGAGACTGTGCGTCCCTCCCATCCCCAAGGAGGGTGCCTTTCCCCCACCCTTGCACCTCCGCCCAGCCTGGTAGCTTGTTCTGGCCACTGGGAAGGTAACACACACCAGCTGAGCCACGCAGAGGCCCTTGTGACTTTCTGCACCTGCTCTCACACCTGCTACAGTAGGTGACTTGGCTCCCCAGGTCACACAGGTGCCCAAGCCCCAAAGTCCCGGGTGGAGGGAGTAGGGCGGAAACTCCATCCAAGAATGGAGCCTGAAGGCGGGGTCTATAGGAAGTGATGGACCGGGTCAGGCGTGAGGTGGAGCCCCCGCGATGGAATCCTGGTGGTCTGGTTGTGAGCCACCACGCAGACGTACAGGAAGCTCTGTGCCTCTTGTCGCTCTCTGCTTCCTGCCCCACCTTCCACCCTCATCCGGTTGCTAGACCTCGGGGCTGGAGTCGACCTTCTCCCTTTAGGGGCAGCTTCCCCCAGGGATTTGTTAGAGACAAAAAGCCAACATCACCTCGAGATGGTGGCCCGCCCAGCCTGCTGCAGGGCGAGGGCCACGCTGGACGGAGACCACCGTCACCAGGAACAGCCCACAGCTAACGTTATCTGGTCCACAGGTAACGAAGGTTTTGGGAACTGAGACCAATTCCTGCTTAAGAATTCTGCCCCGGCTGAATTTCCTTGCAACTCCCACTGGGTCTGCTCGCCTTATGCACTCGTTCAGCTCATCGTACGGGTTGCTTTGGAAACGCTTCCCCACGTGTCTGTGGCTGCCTTGTGGGGATCCTTCACGAAATCCATGGAAAAAATGGGTCAAAAGATACTTGCTTCGATATCAAAAAGTATTAAAATCCATGACTAATTTTTCATAATAGGTGTGTCCCGGGAGCTCTCCTATGAGCCCTCAGATCCACAGATTTCAAAAAAATTTGTTGCACCCAAAGGAACGGATCTTTTAATTCCATTCTCTATGAGCTCTGTGCAATCCCTGGTGGCCACCCGAGTAGGAGACCCTGGTTTCATGGGAGGTTCCTCGCCAACGACGGACCCCGGCGGTACTTACTGCGGGCTGGTCATGGTGAAAGATCCAACCAGAGCCATGGGCTTCTTGGTGTCTAGCGGGGCTCCGCTGTGCCGCAGCCTGCCATCAGCATCTCCGAGACACACACACACACACACACACAGATTCGGTGCCCTGCGGACAACAACGGGATTTCATTACCTTCGGGGCCAGAGCTGTCCTGAGCTCATGGGAAAACGCAAGTCCTTGGAACTTTCTTCCCTGGAACTCTTTGCCGCAAAGCAGAGTCAAGCCTCACCGCGACCCCACGGGGGCCAACAAGAGGCCCCGTTTTCTATTTAGGGACGGAAACGGAGCCAGAGTGACAAGTGACTCCCGCGTCACCCCGAGTTAGGGCCAGAGCCGAGTCAGACCCAGATTCTCACCCACAAACATTCTTTCTCTGTCCCCAAGTCCCAGCATAACCTTCAACTTCAGGAACCCCAAAATAAGGCCTCAAAGTATTCCAAGTGTTCTCCCACATGTATTATTTTCTTCCGCTTCCCTTCCCTGCTGGTAGTTCTGTCTCTCTTATTGCAGGCTTTTCTCTCCTCTTCCCAGTTGGGCCTCTCAGGGGACAGACCGTGGGCCAGACTGCTGGGAGTCAGGGTAAGTTACTGGTCTCCATCCTCACTTTCCCCACCTAGGTGGGCATATCAAAAGCTCACAGAACGTGGAATTAACGGATACGCTGGGGCAGACATTTAGCCTAAGTTAAGATTCCAGGTAGGACGCCAGCATCCTCCATCAGGGTGCTGGGTTCAAGTCCCGGGTTCGGCACTTGGCTTCAGCTCCCTGCTAACGCAGACCAGGGAGGCAGCAGGTGACAGCTCAAGTACTGGCGGGACCTGCCACCCACGGGAGACCTGGATCCAGTTCCTAATTCCGAGCTCGGGCCCCAGCTCTGCTGCAGCCCCCCAGCCATTGTAGCTGAGGACAGGGACTCGACAGGCAGCAACCAGGTATTTGCATACCAGATGTTTGCAGGCACGACAAACAAGCCTGGGGCACAGGTCAGGGACGTCTGGACAGGTGTTTTCTTCCTTCCCTGTTCCTGTCCTGACCTGTCTTTTCCTTCCAATTTACTTATTTGAGAGGCAGAGATCTTCCACCTGCTGCTTCATACCCCAGGGACATTCCTGAAGCTAAGAGCCAGGAACTCCACGCAGGTTTCCCACGTGGGTGCAGGGGCCCAAGCACTTGGGTCATCTTCCGTTGCCTTCCCAGGGGCATCAGCGAGAAGCTGGATCAGAAGTGGAGCAGCCGGGACTCTAACCAGCACTCTGTATGGAATGCTGGTGTTGCAGGCGGCAGCCCAACCTGCTGTGCCACAGCGCCCACTCTGGACAGGCATTTTCCAGCCATGGGGCCTCAGCGAGGAGGGTGGCAATATTGTAGCAGAACGTCTTTCAGGCATGTGGGATTCTGAGTGGGGTGTATAAATGTTATAAAATTCTCCATTCTGTCAGTCTTCATCTTCTACGTTCTCGGGCTCACAGTCGTCCCAGTGTTAAGAATGATCTTGGGGCCGGCGCTGTAGCATAGTGGGTATAGCTGCTGCCTGCGGCGCTGGCATCCCATATGGGCACCAGTTCAAGTCCCTGCTGCTCCACGTCCGATCCAGCTCTCCACTGTGGCCTGGGAGGACAGCAGAGGACGGCTCGGGTCTTTGGGCCCCTACACCTGTGTGGGAGACCCGGAGGAAGCTCCTGGCTTCAGATCAGCACAGCTCCAGCCATTGCAGCCATCTGGAGAGTGGGCCAGCAGGTGGGGGAATCTCTCTCTCTCTCTCTGCCTCTCTGTAACTCTGCCTTTCAAATAAATAAATCATTTTTTTTGTGGGTCATTGGCCTCAGCTGACAGTGGAGTCAGGACTGGGGCTCCCACACATGGGAGGCTGGGGGTACTCGTGTGGGGGAGGATGCAATGAGAGAGTCCTGACTTGTACAGACGTCCCGGCCTGTTTGGGCAAGGCAGGTCTACAACACAGAATTCTGCATGTCCCGGGAGGGAAGAAGGTAAAGACAGACCAATCTGTATTTATAAATAACAGACATGAGCTACTGCTCTACTCTGAGGGTAGTCCAGAAAGTTCACGGGAAAGGTGTAGTTTGAAAAAACTACACATGGATTTCAAAATTCTTTTGCACAAAAATAAATTTTATCTTGTCATTCCATTTCCATGAACTTTTTGAAGTGCTTTTGTATTTTTCTCAACATTTAGTTATTTGAAAGACAGAGAGAGAGAGGGAGAGAGAGATCACCCATCCACTGGTTCACTACCAAATGGCTGCAAGAGCTGGGGCGGGTCCAGGCTGAAGCCAGGAGCTCCATCTGGGTCTCCCACTTGAGTGGCAGGGACTCTAGGACTTGGGCCACCTTCCTCTGCTTTCTCAGGCCCCGAGCAGGGAGCTGCAGGTGGCAGCTTAACCTGCCGTCACAGCCCCAGCCCCTGACCTGTCCCTTTCTAAAGGTTTGTTGAACAGGAGCCTACCAAGGTGCCCACGTTAGGACTGACTGACAGAACTCTCGAGTTTCCTGGAGCCACAGGCTTCTGGCTCTGTTCCCCGTGGGAGAACCGGCTCATTTGCCTCACGAAGTTCCCCAGAGCCTGGGCTGCGGTGACTGCAGCACGGTCCTGTGGCCCCCACCTCCTGCAGGTGGACTGCAGACTCTAAGCAGAGTTGGGTTCAAGTCAGTTATTTTTTTTGAGCAAGATGTATATACGTGGCATCGTAACTTCTAGGAGACACATACAAGGGTACTTCAAAAAGTGCAATAGAAAATGTGCATTATCAAAAAGCCACATGGATTTCAACATTCTTTTGCACTAAAATCAACTTATCTTTCAACTCCAGGTACCACACACTTTTAAAAGTGCCCTCATAGAATCTTCTCATCCCTCTTTTTACAATGCCAACAGCCACTGGTGAGCTCTTTCCAGAACTATTAATTCAACTCGGGTTTGCAACATGTGACTTTTTTTTTTTTTTTTTTTTTTTTTTTTTTTTTTTTTTGACAGGCAGAGTGGACAGTGAGAGAGAGAGACAGAGAGAAAGGTCTTCCTTTTGCCGTTGGTTCACCCTCCAATGGCCGCCGCGGCCGGCACACCACGCTGATCCAAAGCCAGGAGCCTGGTGCTTCTCCTGGTCTCCCATGGGGTGCAGGGCCCAAGCACTTGGGCCATCCTCCACTGCACTGCCGGGCCATAGCAGAGAGCTGGCCTGGAAGAGGGGCAACCAGGACAGAATCCGGCACCCTGACCAGGACCAGAACCCAGTGTGCCGGTGCCACAAGGTGGAGGATTAGCCTATTGAGCCACGGTGCCGGCCTATCATGGTGACATTTTAATGTTCTGGCTCCTTCTATCAGCAACCAGCTCCTGTGAAGATAAACACTCCCTCTCTAATGATGTGATTCGCCTAAGTATGTATGTATGTATGTATATTTAATATTTATTTATTTGAAAGGCAGAGTTACAGAGAGACTCTTCCATCCACTGGTTCATTTCCCAGATGGCCACAATGGCCAGGGCTGGGCCAGACCAAAGCCAGGAGCTTCTTCTGGGTCTCCCATGTGGGTGGCAGGGGCCCAAGCATTTGGGTCATCCTCTGTTGCTGTCCCAGGCGCATGAGCAGGGAGCTGGATCGGAAGTGGAGCAGCCAGGACTCGAACTGGCACCCATATGGGATGCTGGTGTCACAGGGGGCGGCTTCACCTGCTGCACCACAGCGCCCGCCCGAGGCATTTGCTGCCGTTTTACCAGCATCACAGACTGGGTGCGGAGCAGACTCCAGGAAAGGGGGAGAAGACGGGAGCATGGAAGCAGTGTTCAACTTTTGGGGCCGAGAGGAGGTAAAATCCTCCCCAGGTGTGCCCGAGCAGCCTCCGCGGGGGGTTTTGATCCTTGACGAGCGGCCCATTTTCTAAGGCAGAAAGCATGGATGCTGTTTAAAAATAATATTTTCCAAACAACCTCCCGAGCATCCGCCTAGCACGGAGTAGGGGAGAGTCTGGCACCCTGGAAACAGGCAGCCCCGGTGCAAAGCTGCCGTCTCCTACCGTGGGTGTGGGCAGGAGACGCCGCCTGTTTTTGGCTCCATTGGACCCGGCTCTGATGGGAGGCGGGACTGCCTGCTTTTTAAACTTTACCAAAACTCCAGCTGCTTCCACTTGCTGCTCACGAGTCTGCCTGCAGATCGATATCGTATCACGTTTGCTCCCCTCCCCGAGGCTGTGATGAGGGGCAGGCCGTGCCCTCCCCTGCCAGGTGAAAAGCTGTAACTTGGCTCGCCTGTCCCCCCAGGGGCCGCCAACCAGGTGAACGCCTCATCCCTTACCTGAGTGACAAACGCTGTTCTCAAACCCATTTGCGGGATTCCCGTACCTGGTTTTATCAGAGGCAGCGGGGGGCAGGGTGGGGGTGGGAGCGGGGCTTTTTTGTTACACTGCAGGAACAGGAGTTGGAGTCTGGCAGGTGGAGCCCCAGGTGTTTCTGATACGCAGCCCTCCATCATCCGCGTCTCTCCAACACCTGTTCTCCTGCACCATTAAGACAGATGGCCGGCTCCCGCTCTGTATTTTCCCGTTTCTGACAAGTTTCTAGAAGCCACGGATCTGTTCCTGCCCAGACCACACTCTGATCCCTGGATCTGACGGTTGGCTCCAGGTAAAAGATATTTTTATCTCGACCTTGCTGATGAAGGTCATGGCTGCAAAGCTAGTGCAGTGGAATTGTCAGTGAAACCTGGCCGGGCTGAAGAATCAGAGAGGAAGTGTATCTCTTAGGAATACCTGTGGCTGACAGCTGGGGCTGGCACTGTGGTGTAGTGGGCTAAGCCTCTGCTTGCGGCGCTGGCACCGCATATGGGCGCCGGTTCTAGTCCCAGCTGCTCCACTTCCGATCCAGCTCTCTGCTATGGCCTGGGAAAGCAGTGGAAGATGGTTCAAGTACTTGGGACCGTGCACCCACATGGGAGACTTGGAAGAAGCTCCTATCTCCTGGCTTTGCATCGGCACAGCTCCGGCCGTTGCAGCCGTTTGGGGAGTGAGCCATAGCATGAAAGATCCCTCTCTCTCTAATTTTGCCTCTCAATTAAATAAAATCTTTTTTTTTTTAAATAAAACAACAGGTTACCTCGAAATGGCTTGGGCAAGATGACTTGGACCCAGAGAGGGAAATGGACCAAGCTGTTATCTGGATGAGTGGATGAAAATGAGGTAGAGACCACCATGGACGTAGTGTGCGGTTGGTTTCAGATGTCACAATAAAACACATATTGCAACAAAGCAAGTCACGCGAGGTTTTTCTCTTTGTGTGTGTGTCCCAGCACATACATAAGTAACGTTGATGTTTACACTGTAACTGCAGTTTATTAAGCGTGCAATAGCATCAGGTCTACAAAAGGGAATGCTCTAATTGAAAAGTACTTTGCTAAGAAATGTGACTCAGAGGCTGGAAGTGAGAGCACACTATTGGAAAAGCAGACCCTCTGGGCCCGACGTCTTTCATAACGAGAGCACGGGGCGTAGATGAGTCCACATCTCCCAGGACCCAGCCTCTGTTTGTTTTTCCAGCTTTAGTGATAGGATTGACAAATAAAAGTCGCAGGTATTAAAGGTACAAGATGTGGCGCTTTGGTGCAGGTGTAGTTGTGAAATGATTACAACAGTCACGCTAATTAGTCTCACCTCGCATAACTACCTTTTTCCTTGGGGGGCTGAGGTGCATTTACTTGTCAGCAAATTTCAATGAAATCATACAGTGTTCCTGTTTTTTTTTTTTTTTTTTTTAATTTATTTATTGGCAGAGTTACAGAGAGAGAGGTCTTCCATCTGCTGGGTCACTCCCCAAATGGTCACAACAGCTGGAGCTGCTCCCATCCGAAGCCAGAAGCTTCTTCCTGGTCTCCCATGCAGGTGCAGGGGCCCAAGGACTTGGGCCATCGTCTACTGCTTTCCCAGGCCATAGCAGAGAGCAGGATCAGAAGTGGAGCAGCCAGGACTCGAACTGGTGCCCATATGGGATGCCGGTGCTTCAGGCCAGGGCATTAACCTGCTACACCACAGTGCTAGCCCCAGGCATGCATTTTTTTTTTTAAAAAGATTTATTCATTTATTTGAGAGAGAGAGAGGGAGAGGGCGCTTTCATCTGCTGGTTCACTCCTCAAACAGCCACAATGACCAAAGCTGGCCCAGACTGAAGCCAGGAGACTGGACCTCCATCCGGGTTTCCCACATGGGTGGCAGGGACCAAGGACTCTGGCCGGGCTGCTCTGCTTTCCCAGTTGCTTCCGTAAGGAGCTGGGTTGGAAACAGAGCAGACGGGACTCAGAGGCGCATAGCGGATGCACGCATCACAGGCAGCGGTACTGCGTTTTTCACAAAGCACAGGTTGGTGACCATGCTGCGTGGAGCAAGTCTTCCGGTGCCATTGTTCAGGCCGTCTGGACTCGTGTTGTGTCCCTTACATTTTTTTTGCAATAAAGTATTTTACAATTAAGGTATGTACATTTTCTAGATGAAATGTTATTGCACACATTATATAATGTTACTACACACTTCAATATGGTGTTACCATAAGCATCGCTCTGATCTGCACTGAGAACCATCCCCCATGTCTGAGGCATGCCTGCGCCACACTTTCCTTATCCACTCATCTGGATTAACAACTTGGGTTCTTTCCGTACCTTGGCCATTGTGAATCATGATGCAAGGAACACAACAGTGCCCACGTCTCGTTGAGAGAGAGTGGTTTGCCGGCGCCGCGGCTCACTAGGCTAATCCTCCGCCTGCAGTGCCGGCACACCGGGTTCTAGTCCCGGTCGGGGCGCCGGATTCTGTCCCGGTTGCTCCTCTTCCAGGCCAGCTCTCTGCTGTGGCCCGGGAGTGCAGTGGAGGATGGCCCAAGTGCTTGGGCCCTGCACCCCATGGGAGACCAGGAGAAGCACCTGGCTCCTGCCCTCGGATCAGCGCGGTGTGCCGGCCGCAGCGCGCCAGCCGTGGTGGCCATTGGAGGGTGAACCAATGGCAAAAGGAAGACCTTTCTCTCTATCTCTCTCTCACTGTCCGCTCTGCCTGTCAAAAAAAAAAAAAAAAAAAAAAAGTGGTTTTACCTCCTTTGGTTATATACCCCAAAAGTGGGGTTGCTCCATCACATGGGAGTTTGAGTTTTTGAGGGTTTACCATACTGGCTGCACCAATTTATATTCTTGCCAGCAGTGTACCAGGTCCCCTTTCCTCCATGCGCTCGCCAACATATATTATCTCTTGGGTTACAGCCATCTGCTGCTCCTGTGTTGTTGAAGACTTGATCCCCAGTGCAGGAGTTGGGAGGTGGGATTTCTTTTTTAGGATTTATTCAAAAGGCAAAGTTTACACAGAGAGAAAAGGAGGGAGAGAGAGAGTGAGCGAGCAGGGAGCTGGGTTGGAAGTGGAGCAACTGGGACTCGACCTGGCATCCATGTGGGATGCCAGCACCGCGGGTGGCGGCTTTGCCTGCTACACCACAGCGCCGGCCCAGAAAGGTGGGGCAGTGAAGAGGCAACTAGGCCATGAGGACAGAGCCCCCATGGCTAATGCCCTTACCGTGGGAGTGGGTTTGTTTTCAGAGCAAGCGTGGCCTCTTCTTGCTCTCACTCCCCCCTTCCATCTTCCACCAAGGGGTGCCACGGCGGGAACCATGGCAGGAAGGCCCCAGCCAGATGCCACGGCCGCGACCTTGGACTTCTCAGCTTCCAGAACTGCGAGCTGCACACGTCCCCGTGGTAAGTCCCCCAGTCTGTGGCTCTCTGGTACAGCAGCACAGGACAGACTGCGACCCTTGCTAACAGGTAAGACACGTCGCCGCGCTGTGTTTCGTGCCTGCATCTCCCTGGTGACTGACGTGCTGTGTTTGTAAACCCGCTGGCCGTTTGTACATCTTGGGAACACTGTCGGTTCAGGCTCATTGCCCACTTTTAGTTCGGCTTTTTTTTTTCTTTTTCTTTTTTTTTGCCATAGATTCGTGTGAGTTACTGATAGGCTTTGGATATTAGTGCTTTGTCAGAGAGATGGTTTCCGAATCTCTTCTCCCCTTCTGCGGTTGTCTTTCTGTTTTGTTGGTTGTTGCTTCGATGTGAAGTCCCTGCACACGGAGTTGCCATTTGTTAGCTTTGCTTTAGTGGTGCTGTGTCGAATCAGAGCATCGTCGCCAACATCATGGCCAAGGGGATTTTCTCGTACGTTTTCTTCTAGGAGTTTTTACATTGAAGCTTTTTTTTGACAGGCAGAGTGGACAGTGAGAGAGAGAGACAGAGAGAAAGGTCTTCCTTTGCCGTTGGTTCACCCTCCAATGGCTGTCGTGGCCGGCGCCCCGCGCTGATCCGAAGGCAGGAGCCAGGTGCTTGTTCTGGTCTCCCATGGGGTGCAGGGCCCAAGTACTTGGGCCATCCTCCACTGCACTCCCTGGCCACAGCAGAGAGCTGGCCTGGAAGAGGGGCAACCGGGACAGGATCCGGCGCCCTGACCGGGACTAGAACCCGGTGTGCCGGCGCCGCAAGGCGGAGGATTAGCCTAGTGAGCCACAGCACCAGCCTACATTGAAGCTTTTAATCCATTTCACATCGATTTTATGTCTGGTATAAGATGTGGATTCAAGTTCATTTTTTGTACGTGAGTATCCATTTTCCTAATGTCATGTACTGAAGCCTATCTTTTTATCACTTCTGTCAAACACTGGCTCCCCATCTACACCCGGGTTTATTTCTGGGCTCACTGTTCTGTTCTGTTGCCCTGTGGGTTGTTTTTATGCTGGTACCATACTGTTTTGATGACAATAGCTTTATAATGTAGTCTGCAATCAGGAAGAATGATACCTTCAGCTTTGTTCTTGCTGTAGTTATTCAGGGTCTTTTATGGCTCCATGTGAATTTTAGAATTTTTTTCTATTTCTGTTGAAACTGTTAATGGCATTTTGATAGAGATTGCACTGAATCCATAGATTGCTTTGGGTACTGCAGAGATTTTAACTATGGATTACTTGAGTTCATGAATGTGGGGTATCTTCTACAATTTCTTTCATCAATGTTTTATAGGGTTTAGTGCACAGAAAACCCAAGCTTTTTCATCTCTCCATTTCCTTTTCATGCGTGTGATACATTTCTCATATTTGTTGCCTTGTGATTGCAGAGTGGCTGCTGTAGCTCCAGCTTGCACATCCTTATACCAGCTCCCACACAAGATGGAACAAATCAAAGATATTAATTTCTTTTAAAATTAATTCTGCAGCCAGTTGTTAACTTCAGGGAGTATACTAAACACCGAGGTTATCAATGTAGATGAGACAAAATCACAGTGCTCAGGAAATCGTGGGTAGTGGTGGAGACAGATACTTAGACAGAAATGTAAGGAAAAGTTGCCTTTTTTTTTTCCCAAAGCTCACTGGATTTCTGGAGTAGTTGCTATGTGGTGTTCTTGTGGATAGTGTGTTTTTAAAAAGCAAACCCCTCTTAGGACTGGCGCTGTGGTGTAGAAGGTTAAACCTCTGCTTGTAGTGCTGGCATTCCATATGGGTGCTGGTTCAAGTCCCGACTGCCCCTCTTCTGATGCAGCTCTCTGCTGTGGCCTGGGAAAGCAGTAGAAGATGGCCCGGGTGCTTGGGCCCCTGCACTCACGTGGGAGACCTGGAAGAAGCTCCTGGCTCTGGACTGGTGCGGCTCTGGCCGTGGTGGTCATTTGGGGAGTGAACCAGCAGAATGCAGACCCCTCTCTCTCTCTTTCTCTAACTCTCCCTCAAATAAATAATAAGATCTTTAAAAAAAACTTTAAAATAAAAAGCAAACCCCTCTCCACCTTTGATCTGAGCTTTTCCCCTTCCTTACTCTTCTCTCTCTGGAGGTTCCTACGCCGACACCCAGGTATAGAAATCCTTGTTCGCAGGCGGCTAAGCCACACCTGTGATGCCCTCATCCCACACGAGAGTACCCAGGTTCAAGCCCGGCTCTGCTCCTGGTTCCAGCTCCCAGACAATGCACACCCTGTGAGGAACCAGGTGACAGCCCAGTGCTCGGGACCCTTCCAGGAGAGACTTGGACAGAGTGCCCAAATGCTCTAGGGCATTTGAGGGGTGACCTAGCAGATGGGAGGTCTCTCTGTCTCTGCCTCTTAAATTAAAAAAATTGAAAAATAAATCCCTGCTTAGAATTATGTAAGCCTACGCTCTTACATATAGACCAGTGTTTGCGGGTTTGCATTTAACAAAATCAGATCAACCTTGCAAATTGTTTTTATCACTTACAAATATATAATGGGAGGCTGGCGCCGCAGCTCAATAGGCTAATCCTCTGCCTTACGGCGCTGGCACACCGGGTTCTAGTCCCGGTCGGGGCGCCGGATTCTGTCCCGGTTGCCCCTCTTCCAGGCCAGCTCTCTGCTGTGGCCCGGGAGTGCAGTGGAGGATGGCCCAGGTGCTTGGGCCCTGCACCCCATGAGAGACCAGGAGAAGCACCTGGCTCCTGCCTTCGGATCAGCGTGGTGTGCTGGCCGCGGCGGCCATTGGGGGGTGAACCAACAGAAAAAGGAAGACCTTTCTCTCTGTCTCTCTCTCTCACTGTCCACTCTGCCTGTCAAAAAAAAATTTCCATTTTCTATGAACTTTGTAAGAACAGATTTATTTGAAAGGCAGAGTGACAGAGAGAGAGAGAGAGAGAGAGAGAGAGATCTTCCCTCTGCTGGTTCACTCCCCAAACGGGAGGGAGCTGGATCGGAAGTGGAATGGCCGGGACTCGACCCAGCACTCTGCTGTGGGTTGCTGGCATTGCAAACCTAACCTGTTATGGCACAACGCCAGCCCCTCCTGAAACTTTCCAGAGCGCCCTCACATTGCACATGAACACACCACACAGCCTATGGCTATCTTTCCTTTTCTCTGTGCTTATAACACTATACACAAATGAAATTTCATCATTTTATTAGAAATATACATTGTGCGTACATATCTGATTTTTGCTTTCCCATTCAGTAATATCTTGTAGAAATCCCTTTTTACCAAATCGAGTAGTAAAACTAATTAATTCTCTGATTAATGACTGAGCCGTATTCCACGGTGTGGGTATGGCATAAGTTCATTCATAATTTCCATGTCGATAGGCAGTTTATTTTTAGATTCCTTTAGGGGCCACTGTGAAAAATGTTTCCACCTCCCTGTATACAATTATCATGTCCTGGTATTTTTATTTGTTTGGGACAGATACCCAGTGGTGGTGTTGATGGGCTCCAGCGTGTGTATTCTGAATTGCCACACTGAACAACATTCCCAACAAGTCCGTAAACATTCATCTCCACAGCCCAGCGTCCAAGTTCCCCTTTGCAGGGAGAAACTTAACTGTTCAGGATGGCTGTGAACCGCACAAGTCCAGACGCTTGCTTATCCGTATCTCCCTCCCCACGGAGCACTGGAGGCAGACATCGGAAGAACAGAGGGCGAAACAGAAACAGTCCTGAACACTTCCCCCAGAAGAAAGCTGTCCCCATGGAGGGGTTCACCACTCGCCTGTTTCCTTCCTTGTGCCATAAACCCTCATCCCACAAAATAAACCAATCGCGTGACCAGGTACTGGGTTTTCTCAGGTACCCTGCGGCTCCCACTTCCCAGGATTTGCAGGACGGCAGGGACCAAGTGGAAGCATGGCTTATGTTGACAGTATTCTCAACTTGCCAGATAAAAACCATTTCTGGGGGTTGGCGCTGTGGCATGGTGGGCTAAGCCTCCATCTGCAGTATAGGCATCCCATTTTTTGTGCTGGTCAAGTCCCGCTGCTCCTCTTTCGATCCGGCTCTCTGCTGTGGCCTAGGAAAGCAGTAGAAGATGGCCCAAGTCCTTGGGCCCCTGCACCCGCGTGGGAGACCTGGAAGAAGCTCCTGGCTCCTGGCTTCAGATTGGTGCAGCTCCAGCCATTGCGGCCATTTGGGGAGTGAACCAGAGGATGGAAGACCTCTCTCTGTGTCTCTCCCTCTCTCTGTAACTCGCTCTCTCAAGTAAGAAAAAAAAAAGGGTTGGGGGAAGGATTTCAGGGAGTCACTGTCTTCTAAGACGAGAGTATCCATAGACAGGTTAGTGCCCCGGATATCACTGGTCACTCCTAGAAGGCGGCACCAGCATTGCCTGGATTCTCTTGGCCATAGTGCATCCTGCCCTCATTCCCAGGGGAGTCCACCTCCTCCCATGGCCATGGGGTCCCCGGGCCATGCCAGGGGTCAGAAGGTTGGCCTCTGTCTTCTTTAATCAGTGCAGGCACGTGCCCCTGGAGGCATCAGGCTGGGGGGTCCCGTGCTCCTGTCTTCCACAAAGCCAGGTCTTCATGGGAGCCTCCCCACGTGAGGCCATGCCAGGCCCTTACAGTATTTGTTTTGATCCTGGCATGTGACAGGGTAATAGGGCACATGGGGAAGTGTCATGTGACTACCATGTCTCCTTGTCTCTAAGAAGCCACCGATAGAAGGTGCACAGTCAATGATAATGTGGTGACAGAACTTAGGTGCCCTGTTAACTGTGTGCGTTGGGGCAGGCGGATCAGCTGCTTGTGTCCCACATCAGAGTACCCGGGTTCGATTCCTGGCTCGGGCTCCTGATGGCGGCTTCTTGCTAATGCAAACCTTGGGAGGCAGCAGATGTGGGAGACCTGGACGGAGTTCCTGGCTCCTGGCTTCAGCCCTGGGTGAGCCCGGTATTTGGGGAGTGAGTCAGCAGATGAGTGTGCTCTCTCTTCCTCTTCTCTCTCTCTCTCTCTCCTTACTCCCCTACACTCTTGAATTTTTTTAAAAAAATTATGCATCAAAGGTAAGGGTACATCAAAAAGTTCATAGAAAACTTGAGTTAAAAGAGAAGCTTATTTTGGAGCAAGAAAAATTTTTAAATCCATGCATAGTCTGTTCATGCATTTCCCATGAATTTTTTTGAAGACTCCCTTGTATTAGACCCTGATGGAAAAACACGAGTCTTAGCACTGAATAAAGACGAGTATGGTATTATTACCACTGAACATGTAACGTGTGAGAACAAGAAACTGAATCCAAACTGGATATCAGGACATCAGGGGGTCTCGGGCCACCTGCCTGCCACTGTCCTCTGGCTAACTGGTGGCCAGACCGAGAGGAAGCTGCAGGGTGGGGGCGGGAGTTCAGCTGCCCAGGTGGAGGATGGTGGTCAGGAACAGAAGTCCCTCGGGAGAGAACCACCACGGAGACCCCGGAGCGTGGGAGGGAGATGGCGCCTGTCACGCTCCCCCCTAAGGCACTGCCCGGGGCCGCGGGGTGGGCTGGAAGCAGGCGTCTGTCATGGCCCTGGCTGCTCTCCATCGTCCCTCTGATCCGGTGTCTGTGTGGTGTGCACCTGCTCAGGTGGACCCCAGAGGCAGGCCCGCCCACAGGAGAGAAGGGACCAGCACCATCCTTGAGAAGGTGGGAGGAGGCACTGCCAGGGGCGCCCCAGAACAGGCTGCTCCCCCGGCTCAGCAGACAGAGCCCTGGACACAGCTTGGCCACCGCCTCATCGTGAGGGTGGGGATGCCTGCGGCTGCTCCTGGGCAGTGACTCCAGACACCGAGGTTACAGATGCTAAGGTGGCCCACCTACGCAGGAGGCAAAGCCATGTAGATACAAGCGATTTTTCTACTAATGGCCTGGGAAGGATGGATATAATACCTGGTGCATGTGACGGTGTGAGAAAGTGGCCATCCTATTTACTGCTGATGGGAATGTAATTTGCTAACCAGCTGAAGGGCAATCTGACAAGACTGATCATTTGTTTTTTTACAACTGACCCAGCTATTCCACTTCTGGGAGTCACATTTTAAGAAAGTTAAAAAATAAACAAACTCGGGACTGGTGCTATAGTGTAGTGGGTAAAACAGCCACCTGCATTGCTGGCATCCCATATCAGGGAGAGGGAGGGGGAGGGGGAGGGGGAGGGGGAGGGGGAGAGGGAGAGGGAGGGAAAGGGAGAGGATTGATCTTCTTTCCATTGGTTCATTCCCTTGTGGCTACAATATCCAGGGCTGGGCCAGGTCGAACCCAAGAATCAGGATCACTGGCGCCGCGGCTCACTAGGCTAATCCTCCGCCTTGCAGCGCCGGCACACCGGGTTCTAGTCCCGGTCGGGGCGCCGGATTCTGTCCCGGTTGCCCCTCTTCCAGGCCAGCTCTCTGCTGTGGCCCGGGAGTGCAGTGGAGGATGGCCCAGGTGCTTGGGCCCTGCACCCCATGGGAGACCAGGAGAAGCACCTGGCTCCTGGCTCCTGCCATCGGATCAGTGCAGTGCGCCGGCCTCAGTGCGCCAGCCGTGGCGACCATTGGAGGGTGAACCAACGGCAAAAGGAAGACCTTTCTCTCTGTCTCTCTCTCTCACTGTCCACTCTGCCTGTCAAGAAAAAAAAAAAAAAAAAAGAATCAGGATCTTCATCCAGGTCTCCCACGTGGTTGCAGGGGCCAAGCACTTGGGCCGTCCTCCTCTGCTTTCCCAGGTGCATTAGCAGGGAGCTGGATCAGAAGCAGAGCAGCCAGGACTTGAACTGGTGCCCATATGGGATGTCAGCCTTGTAGGCAGCGGCTCAACCCGATACGCCACAACACCAGCCCCTATGTGGCTGATTGTTGAAAAGTGGCTGAGGATGTCCTATTCTCACTAACTTGTCTATAGGGTTTCACTGAGTTTTTAAAAAGTAGGTTTACAGAAGGCAGGCACTGGGGTGCAGCAGGTTGAACTTCCACTGGTGATGCCTGCATCTCGCATTACAGGGTCCCAGCTACTCTGCTTGTGATCCAGCTTCCCGCCGATGCATCCGGGGAGGCAGTGGATGACGGCTCAAGTGCTTGGGACCTGGTGGAGTTCCAGGTTCCTGCCTTCAGCCTGGCCCAGCCCTGGCTGTTGTAGGCATTTGGGGGAGTGAACCAGTGTATGGAAGATATCCCCCCCCCCCACCTTTCCCTGTTTGCATTGCTTTGCCTTTCAAATAGATGAAAATAAATGAACACCAAATAAAAAATGCAGTTTACTCCAGGGCATAGCAATGATGATCCTGGGGACATACAGAACATATGTGTGTGGCAGGGTGTGTGGGGGGCTTCTCCTGCTGTCCGAGAGTTTTTGCAGCTGTCTTAAGAGGAAGACTAAGGTGGTAGCTACACACCCTGTAAAGAGGGAGGCCAGACCAGCTCTTTGGAATACAACACACATGGCCCAGCAACCACTGCACAGCCTGGAAAGGGGGGTCACTGGAGATGGGGGAGGGGAGGCCGGGAAGGGGGCCTCGGAAGGGGGTCCATGGGTGTGGACAGTGTCCGGCATTCCACATCCCTGCCTGCTGCCATCTGACTTCTCTCCTGAGAGATAGCTGAAATACGCTGGCACGTGGATCCAGGCACCCAGGCGATCCCCACTGCCTCCCGGACACACACGTTCTCAACTCCTTGCCTGGGGACCCAGCACCTTCAGCCTTGTAAGCCCCTCCCCCCTTCATAATGCTCGGTGCTCCATCCACCTTCTCTCTGCCCAGTGTGTGTGAGCACACGTATGTGTACACATGCATGCACACACTCTCCTCTGCCGGCACTGTGGATGCCCCTTTCCACGCGCACCCGGCTGTCGCATGCAAACCTGGTGGGTGGTGGGGAGGAGCCTTCTTTCCCTTCTCTCCTGTGTTCACCTGTGCTGCCTGCGGGGTGTCAATCACTCTCTGCTTCCTGTTTCATTGGATAATGTTCTTGTTCCCTCTGCTCCCAGCTACGAGCTCGTTAAGGTCAGGGTTCAGAATCAGCCTATTAAGAAAGCAGTCTTGGCCGGCGCCGCGGCTCACTAGGCTAATCCTCCGCCTTGCGGCGCTGGCACACCGGGTTCTAGTCCCGATTGGGGCGCCGGATTCTGTCCCGGTTGCCCCTCTTCCAGGCCAGCTCTCTGCTGTGGCCAGGGAGTGCAGTGGAGGATGGCCCAGGTGCTTGGGCCCTGCACCCCATGGGAGACCAGGAGAAGCACCTGGCTCCTGCCATTGGATCAGCGCGATGCACTGGCTGCAGCGCGCCAGCCGCGGCGGCCATTGGAGGGTGAACCAACGGCAAAGGAAGACCTTTCTCTCTCTCACTGTCCACTCTGCCTGTCCAAAAAAAAAAAAAAAAAAAATCTCTGGGGCACATTTTTATCTACTGTACTTAGTACAGCAGCTTTTTTAAAATATTTATTTATTTGATTTATTTATTTGAAAGGCAGAATGACAGAAGAAGAGGGAGAGAGGGAGAGAGGGAGAGAGGGAAAGAAGGAGAGAGGGAGAGAGGGAGAGAGGGAAAGAAGGAGAGAGGGAGAGAGGGAGAGAGGGAGAGAAGGAGAGAAGGAGAGAAGGAGAGAGGGAGAGAGGGAGAGATCTATCTACTGGTTCACTCCCCAGATGGCCACAATCGCTGGGGCTAAGCCAGACCAAAGGCCAGGAGCTTCATCCAGGTCTCCCACGTGGGTGCAGGGGCCTAAACACCTTGGCCATCTTCCAGTGCTTTCCCAGGCCATAGCAGAGAGCTGGATTGGAAGTGGAGCGGCTGGGACACGAATGGGCACCCATATGGGATGCCAGGGTCCCAGGGGGCAGCTTTACCCACTACACCATGATGCCAGCCCCTTCAGCAGTTCTCTAACAGCACAAAACAGTTCAGGAGCCTGGGATAAACCCATGAAAGTCGTCTTGCATTCCACAAGCGCTCCCCAATGGCACACTGGTGAAGGCCACTTCTCCACCAAGCGGTGCCTTCACAGGCAAAGTGCAAGAGCATCTTTGTGCCTCTGGAGAAAACGGCGGAGCAATTGTCCTTGGATTTCAGCAGCACATTTAAAAAAATTAGTACAGGCCGGCGTCGCAGCTCACTAGGCTAATCCTCCGCCTGCGGTGCTGGTACCCTGGGTTCTAGTCCCGGTCGGGGCGCCGGATTCTGTTCTGGTTGTTCCTCTTCTAGTCCAGCTCTCTGCTGTGGCCTGGGAGTGCAGTGGAGGATGGCCCAAGTGCTTGGGCCCTGCACCCGCATGGGAGACCAGGAGGAAGCATCTGGCTCCTGGCTTTGGATCGGTGCAGCGCCAGCCGTAGCGGCCATTTGGGGGGTGAACCAATGGAAAGAAGACCTTTTTCTCTGTCTCTCTCTCTCACTGTCTAACTCTGCCTGTCAAAAAAAATTAGGAGACCCTATTCTTTAATAGACATTTTAGGTATACAGAGAAACTGAGCAGAATATTCCCCTAAGCCACTTACCCTGCCCCTACAGTTGCCCCTGTTGCTAACATACTGTGTGTATGTGGTGCACTTGTCACTGTTGGTCGGGTGAGCTGGCCCGAGCCCAGGGTTTACATTAGGGTTCCCTGTTTGTATAGTGCACAGGGTTCTATGGGTTTTGACAGGTCCATAATGTCACGTGTCCCCCTCACAGCACCACACAGAACAGTGAAACTGTTAGCCCTAAAGATCCCCTGTGTTCCACCTGCCCTCCCCCCCTCCCCCCAATGCCTGGCAACCACTGATCTTGTTTCTCCATCTCTATAACTTTGCCTGTTCCAGAAGGTCCTGTGGTTGGAACCAGGCAGTGTGTAGCTTCTTTCACTTGGAACCGCACATTTAAGATCCTCTGGTGTCTGTTCGTGGTGCAGTACCTCTGTCTTTCCATTACTGCTCTGTGCTGCCTTGTACGGACGTGTGACTGACCATCCATTCCCCAGCTAAAGGGCATCCTGGTGACTTCCAGTGTTTGGCAATTATGAACCAACCTGCTGTCAACATTCACGTGCAGATTTGTGTGTGGACATAGTCTTCAACTCGTTTGGGTGAATACCGAGGCGTGCGAATGCTGGATCGTATGGTAAGGCTATGTTTAGCTTTATAAGAACCTGCCAAACAGTCTCCTGGAGTGGCCGTACCATTTGCATTCCCACCAGCAACAAATGAGAGTTACTTTTTTAGCACAGCTGTGCCAGCTTCTGGTGCAGGGTTCCAGACCTCAGCCAGCCTACCAGGTGCACAGTGCTGT